TATGAACACTCACTCTCTCTCTCTCTCTCTCTCTCTCTCTCTCTCTAAGCTCGTGGGTGGGAAATACCCCTCCTATTTATTGTCACTATACAAAGTTTGTAGATAAATAATGCCAATATTGCAATTATATAATAATATAATTCATTAATAATAACTAATATGATTAGATTAAATTATTTTTATGAGGAAAAAAATTATATAAGGTTGCAACCATAAAATGTAGAATTAGAGATTTACCTCAAAAATCCATTGGAAAAGGTTGCTTTAATGTTGAAAGCCCTCTAATTGATCATCTTGACATCGAGATGTATGAATATGAAAAAAAAATAGATTTTAAGTCCTAAAAATAGTGCATATTGCAAGACATTATTTAGACTGTCCATTATCAAGATTTTCATATGTTTATAGATGTACTTGATTTTAACCATTTTTAAAGTTTAAATTTTTATAATTAGATGTGAAAATAGATTTTCGAATAATCCTAACAATTTTTAACACCGAAATTACATGTTATGGTAAAATTTGGAGAGGCGCCTTAATTGGATTGTTTAAGGTTGCAACGTTATAGAAACTATACCCTTTATATTATGTTAGTCTTATACATTTTTTAATTAATATAGTATATTAATTATTACAATAGAAATAAAAAATATTAAGAATATTAACTATTATTTTTACTGAGCCATGAGTATTGTGCTACTTATATAAATAATCATATATATATATATATATATATATATATAAGGTTACAATTATTTGTTTCATATATATTTTCTTATTTTCCAAAGGATTGTTTAGTATTACAAGCCATTGTAGGCTTTTTCTTTATTATAATTATGATGGGATTTTGAGATTATAAGAGATTAAGTGAAATATTTATAATTTACATTACAATACTATGCTCACAATTATATAAATTTGTATATAATTATCTATTTTTTACAATATAACTCATCAATAATAATTAATTAATGTGAATTAATATATTTTTATATTGAGTGTTAGTATTCCTTTTTAATGTGTTGTAGTAGTAACTAATTTAAGAACTTAACATACTTATAATTGAATTAATTATAATCACAATAATATCTCCAAACGTTATACGTCGTCATTTAAGGTAACAGTCCTCTTGTTCAACTATAGGATTCATTAGAAGTCTATTGCCTATTTTTAATGTAGTATCCAAATTTAAGTTAGTAAAACTTATAAATCACGCATGTACCTCTCAGCATTAGTGAGACATCATTATTATTTATTTTATGTAAAATTTAGTTTAATCTTTTTAGTACATACTATATTTTTGTAACTTAGATTTTGTAAATTAATTTTGCTGAGGAAATATCATTAACATAAATATTAAATTATGCATGATGGTTAAAAAAACACTTGCAATACTAGTAATAAAGTAAAGAATTGGAAATATTCCGCATTAAAAACATATGAGCCTGTATATTATGCTTGCTTGGAAGCATATTGTACATTTACTCCCTCGGAAAACATTTACTTGGGAGACTTTTCTTGATTCGAGATTTTGGGATCTATCTAATTATAACTAGATAATTATTTTCTAAGAAACAAATTTGGATTTTTAGTTCTTGAACATCTAGATCATTCTTGCCAAAAAGTGGGTGGTTCTAGTGTAATCTTGGGATTCGACTTTTTTAGGTAGAGAGTGAAAATTAAACTTTTTTTTTTTAGGTTGGTTATCGGGTTGTTGAGATCATTTCCCCAAAATTTGGGATCAAAAAGATATTTCGGTGTGTTTTACCAAAGGGAATAGATAAATAGTATACTCCAAGGGAATAGGAAATTTTTTCGCAAAATAAATAAGCCAAAGAAGTTATTGTATGGTTTGCGGGCAATGGAGCATGTTAATGTTCTTATTTACCCATTTTTGTGTCTAAAGAAGTTTATATACTTTTGTCTCCAAATACGTATATTTACTTAGGATATGTTTATATCGGACATCGTTTCATGTATATAGAGTTGTTGGGTCATACATTTGGCTTTTACATGTTTTTAATATGAATGGCAATATTAACCAATAAATCATATTGTATAAATAGTTAACGAATGTGGCTAATAAAACTGCATATAAGATTTTTTTTTATTTATGTGGTTGAGATATTGGAGAGATCGCAAATTTGTAAATCATGTTCAATATAAAATGTGGTTGAGATATTGGAGAAGATCGCAAATTTGTAAATCATGTTCAATATAAACTGATGATTTATGTGGTTGAGATATTGGAGAAGATCGCAAATTTGTAAATCATGTTCAATACTTGGTCGAGATATTGGAGAAGATCGCAAATGTCGAGATATTGGAGAAGATCTCAAATGTGTAAATCATGTTCAATATAAACTGATGAGGGTGATTAGTAGTTAGTTGATTGGAACCATTTTGAGATATGCTTGTCTTCCTTTCGTCAAGCTAGGGTTTGTCTTCCTCTCGTCAAGCTTGGGTTTGCTCCTAGAGTTAGGAGCTTTCGGTTTCCTTAACATATTCCTTTTTTTTTTTTAAATGTAAAGTCTGGATTAATATTGATAAACGTGCTCGCCGCAATTTGCATTATTGAGCTTCTTTCAGTTTCTCTAACATATTTCCTTTTCATATAAAGTTTGAATTAATATTCCTAAACCACTAAAGTTAGCTGGCCTCAATTTGCTAACCTTCCTTTTTTGTCTTTAATACAAAACTTAATATTTATAATTTCAATCCTTTTTTTTTTCTTTAATGCAAAGCTTAATATTTGTAATTTCCATTCCTTTTTTTCCTTTAATGTAAAGTACAATGGATTGCAATATGATTAAAATTTTGAAAACATTTTTTTGAGTAAATGCATAAATTTATCACTTAGGTTTTGTTTGTCTAATATTTCCAAATTGAAAAATTCCTTCTTTTAAGTACAAGACGGTTGCAATATGATTAAAAATATGCAAGTACTTGTTAAGTATTTAAAGATTTATCAATTATGTTTTGCTTGCTTAATAGTTAGTAATATAATTAAAATTTTGAAAACTTTTTTGGTTAAGGCCAATTTTTAATGGGGTTGGGTTTTCATGTGATAAAGCTTCTACGCAGAAAGTTAAGTTACCTAGAAAGATGATAAGATTAAAAATATAGAGATTGTGTAAAAGGAGACTATTTACTTAGCCATTGGATGTGAACAATCACATAGATGAAAGTGAGTCACAATATTCGAGAAATTTTATTTTGTATTTTATGTCCAAACAATAACACATCCTCAACCACCCTATTTCAAATCTAACGATCTATTATAATTGCGGTCTTCATGTAAAAATAAATAAAAAGTATTATTTCCATATATTAATCTTAATATCAAATACAAGAAATGGTACATAAAATAAATAAAGAATTCAAATATCCAACATAAAGAATAATTTATGGATGTATATGCACCTTTGTTATTGTTTGGAGTATAGAGCAGTTTATGCTTTTTTTAACAAATGAATATAGTGGTCTAGATATGTTAATATTGGACATCAATTCAATGTGCGTGTAGCTTTGCTAGGCATAGTTGGTCTTACATTTGGCTGCACATGTTTCTACTATAAATTATATTGTCAAGCAATAAAATGTATTTTGTAGATAATTAATGAACTGAAATTTTGTGTGTATACAATATGTTGCTTTATTATTGCAGCAAGATTAAAATATATATGTACACAGTTTTGGTGAGTCAGCCGACTCACCTATTACTATACAGTCCCTTGTATAGTAGATGGATGTAAGAAAATATTAGATCCACTAAAAAGTTAATATGGACAGAGAAAAGGAAATTCAAAAGACTATTTTATATTTTTTTAAAAAAGAAAATTCTAAATTTAGATTATTATGGTTGATATTATCAAAACCTAAAATTTTATATCGGAAATAAATCTTTGAGATAGATTATGGAGGGAAACTGCACCAGAATACCTTTCACCATCAATGGTAATTTTTTTGCTCTCATTCAGTAACTACTTTCTATGCGAAACATTTCATCAATATTATTAAAAGAATGGAGAGTTTCAAGTCAGCCTACTAGTTGGTAGCTACAATAAATGTCCAAGGGCCCAGATTGAATCTACGTCAATCTAATAACCACGATTATATTTCATATTTTAATTTTAATTTTTCTACAAATTTAATTCATTTGAAATTTTGAGCATCTACTTTTGAAAAATAGACGAACTTAATAAAAATCTTTACAAAATAAATTACAAAATTATAGAGGTATTTTGGTCAATTTATTTTTTATGAATATTTTTAAAATATTTTTATTCGGTGTGCTTTGATGATAAAAGTGGACGCTCTAAATTTCAAGTGATTTGAATTTGTAGAAAAATAATTAAAATTCGAATACAAAATACAATCATGACTATCAGATCAGCCCAAATTGAATCTAGGTCATTGAGTTTATACTATTCCATCAGCTAATGGGCTGACAAGAGCTTCTTGCTTAAAATAATGGGTGTTTATGCATAAGGTTGACCCCCCAACTTTGTCATGAGATGCAATTTTAATGTCAATTTTTTTTTAGGATTGTGCAATAATCTATTTTTGTCTCAAATTATAAAATTTTAAACTCCAAAAATAATTCAAATCAAACAGATTTTTAAACGCACAAAAATATTGAAAATAGATGGTTCAAATAATGTGTTGCAAGATGTACTATTTTTAAGACTTGAAATCCGTTTTGTTCTTCATAACTATGCATCTCGATGTTTCGATGTTGAGATGATCAATTAGATATTTTTACAACATTAAAACAACCTTTTCAAAGGATTTTAGAGGTGTACCTTACTTCTATATTCTAAAGTGTCAACCTTGTAAGAATGCTTTCTTAAAATAATTAGTTAGTTTAATAATAATTTAAACAAATCGAGTTTTAGGAGACCTTAAAGTCATAGTAAATACTAAATATTAAGTTCCCATAATAATAGGAGAATTGTAGTGAAAGAAAAGAAATAGGGGACTCTTTGAGGGACGTTGGATGAGTAGCAGTCACAATTTTTATAATGATTTTGGATAAGACTTGGCATAAAAATATTAGGAAATTAGCTCTCTTATAAAATAAAAAAAGTCACTCTCTCTATTTCTAGGACGAATTTCTTTATAACTCCTGAGATAAATAACATCATTCTAATCAATTATTTAATAATCATTTGTCCTAGTCTTAGTAAAAAAAATTACTCTCTAGTTTTAGGGCGAATTTCTTTATAACTCGTGAGATAAATGAGATCATTCTAATCGATTATTTAATAATCATTGGTCCTAGACTTGGTGTCTTAGATTGATCCCTATATCCATAGCAGTATTGGTATTATTTATAGTTCAAAAATTGATGAGTCGACCTAATAACTCTCTTTAAATGTCCTTGGCACCATTCGCAATGCAGTTATGTCAGCCGATTGTTGGACTCCATCATACGAATGGCAGTTGATGTGCCATTTCATTTGATGAATCTGAAAGGGGAGGTTGTCAACACCGTTTGTATCAGTCCGTACCTAACACATGACACAAGTTCTTATATTGAGGTTGTATCTATCTTTTAACTATCAGAATCCTGGCGCTAGTGGTGCCTTCGGCGCCATTGGCACTGTCGTTTCGTGTGTTGTCTTGTTAGCCCGGAGTGTCTGGATCAATCTTCCTGTGTTGGCATTTGGAGTAGTGCCTATTAGGAATGGTGTTAGAACGTTTTGCTGCAGACTGTTTTCAGTTTGGTAGTTCTTGATTCTGATATGTCGCTCATCCTCGGAGGCATTCTTCAGTGTTCCGTGCTTTGCCAAGTGGTACCTGTTGAGGTGAAAGGTTTATGGTTAGGTTAAGGGGGTGTTCAGGTTTTACGCGAGGTTGCCCGAGTTATTCGGGTGTCTCACAGTTTCTCTTATCGAGATCGGGGTGTCTACAGCTGTTCTTTTTTGTCGTTGTCCCGCATGTGTGAGACAGCATGTGTGAGACAGGGTGGAAAAGAAATAGATATTTGTGAGACGGAATCGGTGATGGGGCACACAAATGGTGTGAAAGATTTTAGAGGTTTTGAAAGAAAATTGGTTCATGTCCTCGAGAAGAAGAAACCTTTTTAACCATTTTTCAACTTTTCTTAATAAAAAAATTTTGGCCTTTTCAATGCAAAGTTCCGGTTGTTGACTTTGTTCTACAAAACCGCACTATATAGCCTTGGACCTTGCTTGCAATAAGTTCGCCTTTTTGCCCCAAAAATCATTCCATTAAAAAAAACTTTCGCCTGAACTCGCCTAGTTAATAAAACTATTGGTGCAGAGATGAGGGGATCGACATGCTGCAAATGATCCACAAGTCGTACTTTTTGCCTTAAAATTTGTTAATTTGATTATTTTGTACGATATCGGCTCATAGAGCTTGATTCATGCACAGGTCAAGCTTTGGTGCAGGATTTACCTGGTTGGGAATAGGATTGGGGCGTAAGTGGTTACTTACGTTAACGTAAGGTCCCACCCTCTATTCCCACCATTAACATATAGAAAAAAACAAAAAACAAAACAAAAAGAGCATTCTCTTAAGAAAATCAAAAGAATCAGGCGAAAATGGAAACTTTAATTACTCTTATGAAAAAAATAGAAAGCCATTCGGTAACAAGAAAAATATCTTCAATATTTATTGATCATTCTATCAAGTAAAGAAATAAAATAGCAAGCCATAATTCCTAAATATAGGTATTAAATAATTTAACCAGCACTTAAATTACTCCTTTTCTAAAATACCAGAAAATTCTATTTTTCCTTAGAATATATATCAAAGTTATGCCTCTTCTTGGGTATGTTCGCAATGGAAGGGTTAAGAAAGAGGATGGTTCTCTTGCTACTGTCATTGGCCATTGCCAAGTTCCATTTTGGCACGTGTGAAGCTAGACAAGGCCAAGCCCTTATGCAGCACATGAATGCCCAGTTTGTAGGAAATGTGGGGTTTGAGAACTGGGGCTCTTTTGATGAGGTCACACGTGTGTTGCCTCAACATGGGTTGAGAGAGAGAGATGAGATTGTTGGTGGGTTGCCTGGTGAGCCTGCGGGTGTGGAATTCAAGCAGTATGCTGGTTATGTGACTGTCGACGAGAAGGCGGGGAGGGCGCTCTTCTACTATCTGGCCGAGGCCGTCAACCCTCTCTCCAAGCCTCTCCTCCTCTGGCTCAATGGAGGTATTTCTATCTCTCATGCAGACATGCCCATATACAAGTGAATGAACTTTCTCAACATGTCATATTCCCTTAAGGGGCAATGGGCCCGGCCCTGACCTGACCCGATAGTTGACACGGACCTGACCCAGGTCGGGTCTAAATCATTTTGACCCAGATCCGGCCCAAGTTTTGGGTCGACCCTATCTCATGAGCCATTGATTCTTTGTCTCTCAATTTCGAATCATCTTTTACAAATTGTTATCTTTATTTGGAACTAAACTAGTATCTCAAAGTTCATCTATCGAGATTTGGAAAAGTTGATTTTAGATTGGTAATCGGTGAGGAACGACCTAGCTCCTTGTGGAAACTAAGAACAAGCCTGATTTTAACGAACTTGCCTATTTCTATCAAAAAAATCTAACCAAAAAAGAAACTTTCCTTTTATTACCTTCCCTTTTCCAAACTTTGGAGTAACATACACATTCACATAAAAAGAGAATTTGTCATGGAGATATTATTATCTTCATTTGAAACATAATCTTTGACCCAAATTTTAGATAATTTTATTTTGGAAATATGTATGACAATGTGTACTTTTTATACAATGAGGTCACAATTACTATTAACTATTACATGTGAAATCAAATGGCTAGGGGGTGCGAACCAGCACAAAAAATCAAAATAAAATTTCTCGAATTGTATGACATACCCCTAACTATCAGATTTCATATACAATGACTAAGGTTGATTGCGACCTCCTCGTATACAACCCTTATTTTTTATAAAAAAAACTATGCATGTATTGTAATTACAAAAGTAGAAATATGCATAACACACTTCTTGCTAATATTTCTTATAATATATATACAACTCCGTTTTGTAAACAAATATCACTAATAAAACCTGCTGGGCTTAGTCTTCGCTATCATATACCAATTGTTGGTTATCCACATCATTATCTTAGGACACGGTTTCTATGCGGCCAAGCCCACATATGTAGAAATGCGGGCATATTAATAAATCTATTTTTGAGATGGATTTTTGGACTTAATTTTTAAGGACATGTAAGATATAACGATCATGAATATGAAAAAATATGTAAATTTTAAAAACTAGAAATAATAATTCTAATAAGAAACCATTTGGACTATTAGTTTCCATTGTTTTTAGATGGAACACCCACTTGCGTTAAGATGGATACTTTACACTTTTTGGACCGCATATGTAGTCATGCGATCCAGCCCGTATGAAACAATTTTCTTTTATCCTATGATTATTTTGCTATATCGCTAAAATCTTTGTATACATAACGTTGATAACCCATGTGCAATCAATTTTGAGGAGGAAAATTTTTATCACATAATGTATTATATTTATATATTAATGCATGTGAAAATTTTCAGTTAATACAAAGCAAACATAGGAAAAATAACGTGAAATAAAAAACTAAGTAGAATAAGGGTATTTTGATTTGGAAATGGAAGCAAAGTAAGATTTTCATCATAGGGCATTTGACTTCAACATACGTTAAAACTGATTCCAATTACTATCATATCCTTAAATTTTTTTTATTGCCTCTTACTCTCTCCTCAAGGCAGAAAGTGTTGAGGAAAACTTAAATTGATGGACTGCATAGGAATAGGCAATTAAGATGTGCAAAAAACAATCCATGACTATGTCAAGAAAAAGTTCTTTTTCAGTAGTAAATTTTAATTTAATTATGGAAATTAGAGAGCATATCAAGTTTTTACATAGGAATCAATTTTGTGGAAAGGATTTATATAGCATTTAGAGAAGGGTGAGGTTTTGTAAAAGGTTGGCACCTTAAGCAATCTAAGTAAGGCACCCAAAATTGATACCAAGCAGTTTAAGTGCCGAAAATCCCCATGATGGGCTACAAATCTATTTTAATATTTAATTGTGAAATTTAAAACTTAAAAGATAGTGTAGATCGAGCGGATTTATAAACATTTGAAAATATTTTTTTTCCTTTAGGGAATATCTACTTTGACATCATATATTTACTCAGTCCAGGTTTATTTTGAAGAACACGAGTGTTTTCAGACAAGGGTTGTAGATAAATAATGCATAATATGGGAAGGCTTTTTAATACATATTATCATCTTTGAAGTTGTGACTAATGCCTGGCTTTCCCCATTACCACACAAACCTTAAGCATTTTTATGGAAGAGTAAAGAAATTATATGGAAGTTAACCACAGTGTGAAATCAAAGATTGGATGAAAGCTGGAGTGGTCGAATTTGAACACACCAGTAGAGAAGAATAGCATAACCATATTACTAATGGATGTGTTGCACGTAGAATAAGTACTAAGATAACAAAAAAAAAAAAAGGCAAATTAATCTTAATATTAAATAGAGAACACAGTATAATAATAAAGTAAAGAACTGCAAAAATTCACCATTAAAAACTTATGAGCCTCTATATTATGCTCCCTCAGGAGCATACTCTAAATTTACTCCCTAGGAAAAACTTTTACTTGGGAGATTTTTCTTGATTTGAAATTTTGGGATCTATCTATTTATGACTAGATAATTATCTTCCAAGGAAAAAAATGGATTTTGACTTCATGAATGCCTAGATCATTCCTGCCAAAAATTGGATGGTTTCATTATATTCTTGGGATGTGACATTTTTTAGGCTGAGAGTGAGAACTAAATTTTTCTTTTTTCTTTGATGTTGGTTACCGCCTTGTCCAGATCATATCCCCAAACCTTGGGATCAAAAAGATATTCCTAGTGTATGTGTTTTGCAAGAGAATAGATAAATAGTATACTCCCGAGGGAGTAGGATATTTTTCGGCAAACATATAGGCCAAATTGGTAATTATATTGTTTGTGAACAAGAGAGGACGTAAATGCTCTCATTTACCCTTTTTTGGTTCTATAGAACATTTTTGTCTTCAAATAAATATTACTTATTTGGGATATTTTAAAAGACATCCATCCAGTGTGCATAGAGTTGTTGGGCATGGTTGGTCATACATTTGGCTTGGGCATGTTTTTAGTATGAATTGCGATATTAACCAATAAATTATATTGTATAAATGAACGTAGAGTTTGTTATAAAACATTTATCTTGCTCATCTTGCTTATAAATTATTGCTAAGATTTAAGATTTTGCTATTTGTATGGTTGAGATATTGGAGAAGACCACAAATTTGAAAAATTATCATATCGAACAATCTCCAATATATCTATATTAATTTTTAAATTTTGTTTGTTTTGGTTCTCCAAACGGAATGTAATTCGAGTATATTCATTTTTAAATTTTGTTTGTTTTGGTTCTCCAAACGGAATGTAATTCGAGAGGAAATGGAATTAATCATAACGTCTAGGAATCAATGAAAAAATGTAAATATTTTTGTTCAGAATAATTTATCTTTTTTATTCAAGTTATTATTTCTCCTGTCTATTTGAAAATATGTGGGTTAAGGAATGAAAGGTGTGTTACTCTGTTTTCTTTTTCCTTATCGTCTCCTTAAGTGTCTCTCTCTTTTATTCTTGATCAATATATATAAATTCTTATCACTCTTTTGTTTATAATAAGGTTGATGGTTCTTGAGTAGTTCTTAATGGACTAATATATTAGATATAGATATTATTAAGATCTAATATCTTAAACTAATATAATGGATATTAGCATTAATAAGATCTTGCATAAATTTATTTATTAGTTTTATTTATATAATTTAAATTATTTATTTAAATCATCTTCATTATTTTAATTGTATGTCAAATGTAGTCGTGTTAATTAATAATATATGAAAAGTAATATTTACAATCACATTTATAATTGATTAATAAAATATTAAATCGTGAAGATAAATGTATAAAATTTTCTCTCTAAAAGTTCAATAATAAATATATTTCAGTGATTAATATTAAATATCACGTGCAACACATGTGCATATTACTAGTATTTATTCGGCGAGCCTTGATGAGAAGAGTGGACGCTCCAAATTTTTAGAATAAAATTTAAATTCAAAATCCAATCATGACCATCAGATAGGCCAGATTTAATCTGGTTCATTGGGCTTATACGATTCCATCAACTAGTGTGCAGACAAGATCTTTTCCCTTAAAATAATAGGTGTTTATGCATAGGGTGCGGTTTGTATAGAGCCTTGGCTCTAAACAATCAAATTGGAGCCTACCTTTAAATAGTGTTGAGAAATGTGGTTTCAATATTGAAAATCTTTGTGATAGCATTAAATATATCTTCATCTTTATTTATAGAGTTTAAAGTTTCAAAAATAGTGTAGATCAACTGATCTAAGAAATCTTGAAAATCTTGAAAATTGATGGTCCAAAAATGCTTTAAAAGATACACTATTTCCAGAACTTGAAATCCACTTTTTTCTTATGTCCAAGCAACTTGATGTCGAGATGATTAACTTGAGTATATTTGAGCATCAAAACAACGATCTTCTAATAAAATTTTTGTGGTACGCTCTAATTTGATTGTTTAGAGCCTCGGCTCTAAATAAACTTTTCCCTTATGCATAAGGTTTCAACCTTAGACCATCAAAGTAAGGTTTTCATGGTGCGTCAAAAGACCTTGGGGTTAACATGCTCTACTTTCTCTCTCGAGATAGGGTCCCATTTTATTCTTGAACATGTACTCGCTTTTTTAATAGCTTAATAATTTAATATAGAGATGGAGAGGAAATTATTTTTTAGTAGTAAGCCCGTCAATTTTCATTTTCTTTTGTTGCACATTCATTTTAGCCAAAAGAAATAAAAAATTTTATGTGAACATTTAAAAAATAAAGCATCTTTAATATACATTTTGAGAAAAGACATTTTCTTTCTGGCCAAGCTTTCTATGCTTTTCCTACTACATAAAACTTATATGTTTTCCCCTATCCAAATGTCCATTCTGAATAGATGGCTGAGATGACTCAAATCACAATGTCATGTCTCTAAATATTTTATTTTTAATTTT